AGGACTCTTGTTCCCTCCATCTCCAGCTGTATCTGAGCACCACGTGGTCTTGTTTGCTGGGGCCTTCACCCAGCACTGGCAAACATCTCATTCCTGGGGACAAATTTATTCTTAAAATATGCTTTTTAACTTGTTGTTGGTTCTAATGTGCCTTGGCCAAGCGGGACACGAGGTGTGTGGTGGGGGCACAGCCTGGGAAGCATAAGGGGATTGGGCCACTGGGCATGGCCAACACCAGGAAGCCCCTGAGGCTTCAACCAGCAAGAGGGTTCAAACTGGGGGGTGGGGTTTTTTTCCCAGTTAATTATAACAACGCTGAATTTGAACAGATTTTTATATGAGAAGACAACTGTCTGACATCTGCCAGTGTCACACTGGAACATGCAGCAGATGAGAGGGAAACCTTGTCAAGGAGAACATTGCCATGATCTTGGGTATGCAGGAGAGCTGTCACTAGCTTTTTTCCCCAGAATCTAAGCCTGTTTTCTCTAAAATCAGCTAGAGGCAGAGAAGTACTATAAATATGAAGTAACCAGAGCTCAGAGTTGGGCCACCCTGGGGTCTCTCCTCCACACAGCATGTCAGGAATCCAACCATCCCTCCTTGGACTGGCTGGAGCCTGTCTGAAGGACACTTGGTATGGCTGTGATGGGAGATGAAAGCACCACTCAGCAAGTTTGCTCTTTCATAACTTGATATCTGTAAAACCTCAAACAAAATTCTGGAGTTTGAGGGATTAGTTGTTCTTGTGGAGTCATTTGTTTTCTCTGGTGCACTTAGATGTGAATAATTTCGTTCAGTGTCGCTCTTGGAACTTGTGACGCGGTGGTGCCTCGTGGTGCTGGGAACAGGCACATGGAGTCATGGAATCTATAATTCTGATTCCAACCAGATCATACTTCTGGTTGGAAAAGGCCTTTAAGATCATGGAGTCCAGCCCTGCCAAGGCCAGCCCTGCCCCATGTCCCTCAGCACCATCTCCAGGGCTTGGAAACCCCTCCAGGGATGGGGACTCCCCCCCTGCCTGGGCCAGGCCCTGACAACCCTTGGCAGGCAGGAATTGTTCCCCAGATCCAACCTCCACCTCCCCTGGCACAACTTGAGGCCGGTTCCTCTTGTCCCATCCCTTGTTCCTGGGGAGCAGAGCCCGACCCCCCTGGCTCCAACCTCCTCTCAGGCAGCTGCAGAGCCAGCAGGTCTCCCCTCAGCCTCCTTTGCTCCAGGCTGGACCCCCCCAGCTCCCTCAGCTGCTCCTGCTCACACTTGTGCTCCAGCCCCTTCCCCAGCTCCCTTGCCCTTCTCTGGACACGCTCCAGCCCCTCCACGTCCTCCTTGTCCTGAGGGGCCCAGACCTGAGCCCAGCATTCCAGTGCCCAGCACAAGGGACAAACCAGTCTGATTTTCACCATTAGAAGCATCATTAGTGAGTAACAAGCGCTGAGCTGGAGGTGCAGTGAGTAGCAGCAAGGAGGACAGCTCTGATGGCAGGGTTATGCCTTTGAGTTCCTCAGTGGAAGATGCCAGATTGGAATGTCCTTCCCTGTCTCCTTCAAGCCCCTTTCCCCCGGCAGTAACTCAACCCTGGTGCTGACTCAGCCCAGCTGAATCTTCTCCATCAGCGCCTGCCGGGAGGAGCCGACGAGCAGCCGGGCTGGGGGCAGAGCAGCAGCCCCTGCCAGAGCTCCCAACAAAATGGCTTTGACATCTCCTTCAGAGGCTCGTTGCCGTGCTTGGGGGAACAAGCAAACTGAAAAGTCTCCTAAAGAATTCTTGCAGACTAATGAACAAATGTGATTAAGCTTTGGCAGCTTGTCCCAGTATTCCCTGGAACCAGGCAATCTTCCCAGGCAGTGCCCTGCTCTGGGTGGCACAGGCCCCTCCTCATTAAACAATGCATGACAGCAAAAGGGTTGTTGCACAAATTGAGGCAGCACCAAGCACGAGTATCCTCCTGCAGTCCCTCGGGGTTGGGTGCAGGGTCGTGTTCCCCCTGGGGTCAGAGCCTGGGACAGATGGATCCTGGATAGCATCCCTGTGGCTCCTGAAATAGGGAAGTTCCCTTCCCAGCTCTCCTGGGCTCACTGATACTATTCTTCATAGATGCAGGTTGCTTAACTGCTGTCCTGCAGTGCAGCTCCACCAGCCTGGTGAGGCTGCATTTCTGGTTTACACTTTTAAAAATAAATATCCTCTTTGTTATGTTGAACTTTAATATACTCTGGTAATTTCCTGTGTTGAGGTTATTCACTCAGATTCCTTGGTTAGTAGCCTGTATTGGATTAAGTAACACAAAATAACATGAAATCCATGATGTTAGTTCAGAAACCTGGGAGCTGCTGGAGTTTAAATCCTGAAGTTGAGTTTTTTTGAGGAGCCTCCTTGGGTTTCCTCAACAGATGAACTCAGGTTGATGCTGGGATGTGAGAGGTTTCATGTTGCTGCTGAATTAGCTGAAGTAATAACAACATGAAAGGTAACTTCCAGAGGGTGGAAAGTCACCTTGATATCCAAGATACTTGAGGCTGATAGGATTCAAAATAAAGCCATTCCCAGGCGTGGAGTCCTGGGAGCAGAGAGCAGGGAATGGACAGAAGGTCCTTATTCAGCAACGGGACCCATTGGCAACTGCTCTTTCTGCTGTTGCTGTAGATAAAACTGGCAAATTAAATGAGGGAGGGTGTAAAGGTTTATTGAAATGCTGTGGAGAAAACTGGGACAGAGGAGCCTGTGTAGATGAGCTAAAAAAAAATGAAAATGGGCTTTTTAGGTGAACATGAATGATTCTTCAGCATTTTGCATTAGGAAGTGTCCAGCCTGTGCATTTCACTCCTTGCTTTTCTTTGCAAGTCTTTTTATATGCCTAGGACATGAAACCCAAAATGTTTAGTATGACCTGGGGGCCCAGTGGCTGGGAAGGGGCCAGTGCAATGCAAGGCAGAGCAGGTTGCAGACCGTGCCCTGGAGTCAGCAAAAGAAACAAACCCCCCAAACCCCCCAGGCTCCGAGCAGCACCAGGGCAGGCAAAGGCACCGCTTTACTGCACTTGTTTCCAGCACTGGTGTTTGTACCAGAACTGAACTGACCCTTGAGACTCTCCCTTCAAGACCAACCAGCAAGGAAGTGTGCAACAGAAATAGTGATTTTCAAACGATGTGGAAGATCAGCCTTTTCTCTGTTGGAATTGTTGGGCTGTTGGGGGGCCCTTGGCGTGTGCCGCAGCCTGGCAGTCTGTGCTGTTGGTGCAGAACATCCCCCACAGACACACTGGGTTTTAATCCCCAGATGACAAGGGAAAATGAGTGCATTTGTGGGGGGTTGGTTGTGCCATATCCTTCATGAAATTCCAGTGCCACAGGAGCTGCAGTGGAAGGCTCAGGGCAGTGCTGTGTCTGCAGCACCACGGAGAGTGGGTGGTTTAAAAGCTGTTTATAGGGAAATAACAGGTTGCCCAGGGAAGCTGTGGCTGCCCCATCCCTGGCAGTGCTGAAGGGCAGGTTGGATGGGGCTTGGAGCAGCCTGGGCTGCTGGGAGGTGTCCCTGCCCATGCAGGAGAGTTGGATCTGGATGAGCTTTAAGGTCCCTTCCTACCCAAACCACTCTATGGTGCTATGAAATTGCTCCTTGTGTGTCTCCCTGTGCAAAGCACCGTGGCAGCTCCATAGATTCACTGGATTTAGGGAGAAAACTTGGTGACGCTGCTACTAAAGACCCAGCACAAGGGCCAGCAATGTGCCCTTGTGGCCAAGAAGGCCTGTGGCCTCCTGGGGGGCATCAAGAAGAGTGTGGCCATCAGGTCAAGGATGTTCTCCTGCCCCTCTGCTCAGACCTGGTGGGGACACATCTGGACAACTGGGTCCAGTTCTAGGTTCCCTAGTTCCAGAAGGACAAGGAGCCACTGGAGAGAGTCCAGCCCAGGGCACTGAGATGCTGAAGGGACTGGAGCATCTGCCTGTGAGGAAGGGCTGGGAGAGCTGGGGCTGCTCAGAGGAGACTGAGGGGGGATCTCATCAATCCTTATGAATATCTTAAGGGGTGGGTGTCAGAAGGAGGGGGCCAGATGCTTCTCAGGGGTGTCCAGTGACAGGACAAGGGGCAGTGGGCACAAACTGGAGCACAGGAGGTCCAACCTAAACATAAGAGAAAACTTCTTTACTATGAGAGTGACAGAGCCCTGGGACAGGCTGCCCAGAGAGGCTGTGGAGTCTCCTTCTCTGGAGACATTCAAAACCCATCTGGACATGTTCCTCTGGGATTTACTGTAGGTGACCCTGCTCTAGCAGGGGGGTTGGACTAGATGGTCTCCAGAGGTCCCTTCCAACACTGACCACTGTGAATCTGTGTCACAAAGTAATGTTTTGTTCCGTTGTTTGCTCTGGAGGGCAGTAGTTTTCCTTCTGTGAAACACAGGGAGCAGCAGCACCACGGGGTGGTTTCCACACTAACGAGGGTCTGTGTGATCCACCACCTTAGGACCAGATTCCCACATTCCCCCTTTCCTGTGCCACTTTTCCCAGGAATCCTCCCTGCTTGCAGGGAGCTGCAGCACCTGGATGTGGGTAGGAGAAAGGTCCAGAGAAAGAAACAGCCCTGATGGTAGAAGCAGGTCAAAAACAGTGCCCTGCTTCAGGACAAGTAATTATAACACCTGCAGGAGATCAGAACTTCACCATTAACATCCCAACAATGTATTTGAATAACTTGGAAGATGGGAAGCTTTGCTATTTTAATTAAACCAGGGGTTTCCTTCATCTGCTCTCTATTTTCCTGCTGGAATAACAGGAGGAATGGGATGCTGATGGCAGCTGGATGAGCTGTCCTGTTACAGGGAAAATCTTCTTATAGATGTTCTGACTTGGGGAAGATCTTCTAGGAACAGCCCATCTGTAACTGACTCAGTTCTGGCTCCTCCTGCCACTATGTTGAATAGCAGTGAACTAAGTATATTCTTTTCTTTTGAAGTTCAGACCTAAGAAGTCTCCCTTCATTTTTTTGCTTCCCAGGAAAACCAGAAGAGACCAAACCAGCTGAAGCCGTGACAGGGAACGATATCACAGCACCTCCCAACAAAGAGCTTCCTCCCAGCCCTGAGAAGAAGACAAAGGTAGGTGTCATTTCACCTTCAGCCTCCTCACTTCTGGGGCTTTCCATTTGCCAGCTTTTCTGCTTCCCAAGCTGTGCCAACACTAGTTCTGTTTTCTGAGCTGCTGTTTGTGAGCTGTTCGACTGAAACAAAGACACCCAGTTGTCAGGCTGCAAACAAACAACTCAGCTTGTGGCAAATGGGATTGAAAGTAGATTTTAAAGCTTTATTTAAATTAATTCCCTGGTTGGTATTGGTGGTGTGGAAGTAGTAAACATGGATGGTAACAGTTCTGCCACACTGATGCTCTCCTAGTTGTTTAGGATACATTAATTTGCATTGCAGTTAGCACTCAGAGATCTCTCTCAGGGTCTAATACTCTTATTTAGGGCCATTTAGGGCACAGGAGAGAGACCTGCTTTCAGAAGCTGGCAGCAAAACCCATCCCCAAATTCTCAAAGCAGTGGTAAAGGGGGGAGATTCTTGTCCCCCTGAAGGCAGCGGATGTGCCACCCTGGGGTCATCCCAGGAGGATTTAGAGCCTGCATCCCCTGCGTGCGTGTCACTGGGAAGCAGTGTCCTGTGTGCTCCATTACTAATCCCAGCTTTAGAAGCAATTCCTCCTGGTGCTTTAGATGTCTCTGGAATAAACCCTGAGGTCTGGGAATGAGTGGCCCCCCTGGGCCAGGGGCAGCCCCACTTCTGCTGCTTCGCTTGGGTCTTTCTCTTACGCTCAGAAAACAGAAAGCTAATTATTATTTTTCAGTTGCTGTTGGTTTCATTTAAAACACCAGTTTTATGTTCTTGCAGCTCAATGTTTTGGTTTACAATGCGCTATTTATTTTTGGTTGTTGTTGTTGTGTTTTTTTTGTTTGTTTTTTTTTGTGTTTTGTTGTTGGTTTGGTTTTTTGTCGTCGTCGTTTTCTTTTCCTCCTGGACTTGGCTTGTTTTGACCACCCGTAAAGCCTGCTGCCACCACACCATCTCCAAAGCCTGCAGCACCGAAAGCCAGGCCCCTGGCCACCACCAGCCCCAAGAGGCCAGCCTCTGCCACGCCTGGTGGCCCAAACAAAAAACCCACCAGCCCTACTACAGGTCCTACTCCAGCCACTCCCAAGCGCCCAGCCACCAGCACCACCCGGCCCTCCTCCCTCACTCCAAAAGAGACTAAACCAAAGGTAAGAAACTGCCCCTCTGTGTGTGGGGGGGGAGCTCCCAGACCTTATCTACTCGTTTACTGCCCTCAGAGTCAAAACATCCTTCTAGTGGGAGTCAGGAGAAGGTCAGGAATGTGATTCCCTGGGTTTGGAGAGCTGAACCATCATCAGGAGCAGGTTCCAGTGACCCACCTGTGTGGCACCAGACCTCAGGGGTATCATTGTGTCAGGGCAGAGGAGGACATGAAACTTAACTGTATTGCCACAACTGTCACGAAATAACTCCTTATTTCTTTCCATGACTAAAGGAGGAGGGGTTTTAAAATACAGATCTTTAGATGACAAACACAAATAACCTGAATGCAGACAAGAGTGTTGGAAAACCAAGCAGAGTCCTTGGATATTCATATTGAGGGCTGGACTCAACCAGTCTGAACACCTCAGTGTTTCCCACTGACTCTCTGGCTTCATAAAAACTGTTGGAAAATAACTGAGCATCCACTTCTGTGCTGAGGAAATACTGAAGATTTTCTCCGGTAAGAGAAAATTTGAGGGCAATTCTTAGTGTTACATCTTCAAGCTGAGCAGGGTGACCAGGGGGATTGTTAACAATGGGAAACGCCCCTTGAATTTTCCCTGTGTTAATTTATTATGTGGCAGAAGAATTCAGATTGGAAAGGGAAGGTTAGAATCTGCTTCAGAAGCTTTTGATGTTTGAATGCTAGTGTTTCTACTACACATTTCAGCTTAAGTAACTGCATTTTAGTGTCTTTTAAAGCTAATTAAATAGAAATAACAAAGAGTATGAAAGCACAGGTATAAATCTGTCCTCCTGTGAACCAATATCTCAGTGTTAAGTTTTTGCATGATTCTGGATCCCTTTTTGATGAAATCCAAATCTCATTAGTTTCCATACATTAACTCAGTACTTAAAGACTTAAGAGATCAGTGTACAGAGTTACCAGGAACGTCCATGAAGTAGCTTTCCAAGTGTGCAGTGAAACATGGACACTGAATTCTTAGGTCCACTGTGTTTTTGTAAGTGCTTTCTTAACTTGGGAATAATTTCCGGGCATGAAGGAAAGAAATCTCTCCCAGAAGTGTTGCTTGTGGTCTGACACTCTCCATTTGGTTCAGAAATCACAAGCTGGCTCACACCTGAAATGGCCTCCACAGGTCTGGATGAACTGAAATGCTCAGCAGGGTCTGTGCTCTGTGTCCTGCACTGCAGAGTCAGTTGCCTCTGCATGTGACATTTTATACAGATATTATATATCCACTTAATTGTATCTGGAATCTTCTGCAGTGCCACGTGTCAGCAATGCCCAGCTGATGCCTTGAAGGATTGAAACCATTTATTTTAGGCTTTTTGTTGGCCAGCACCTTGAAGGGACCACCAGTGCACCAGTGCCTCTGATGCAGCCTGTTTGTTCCCAGGTTGCAGATGCGAAGCCCACCGAGAAGAGGACCTCCCTCTCCAAGCCCCCATCAGCTGCCTCTTCCAGACCTGCTGCCAGGAGCACCCCTGCCACTCCCAAGACAACAGCACCATCACCAGTCACTGCACCTGCTGCTGCAAAAAATACTGCTGCTTCTCCTCCCAAGAGGCCAACGTGTGAGTTCAGCTCTCTCTTTCTAAGCAGCTGCAAGGTTCTGTTTTGAGTAGCACTGTTGGGTCACCTCGTGGCTTTCTGACAGATTCCAGCACCCTGATGGCTCTTCCCTGTGGTTAGGTCATCCCATGGCCCGAGTAGTTTATTAAAATTAGTCTCCTAATTAACAAGCTGCCAATCTTCAGGATCAAAAGAAGGAAAAAAAACCAACAAAACAAAACAGGCTGGGAGAGCTGGGGTGTTCAGCCTGGAGAAGAGAAGGCTCCAGGGAGACCTGAGAGCAGCTTCCAGTGCCTGAAGGGGCTCCAGGAAAGCTGGGGAGGGACTTGGGACAAGGGCAGGGAGTGAGAGGATGAGGGGGAATGGATTAGAACTGGAAGAAGGGAGATATAGGTCAGACATGAGGAGGAAATTTTTCACTGTGAGGGTGGGGAGAGCCTGGCCCAGGTTGCCCAGGGAAGCTGTGGCTGCCCCATCCCTGGCAGTGTTCAAAGGCAGGTTGGATGGGGCTTGGAGCAACCTGGTCTGGTGAGAGGTGTCCCTGCCCATGGCAGGGGGTTGGATCTAGATGATCTTGAAGGTCCTTTTCAATCCAAACCATTCTGTGATTCTTTGAAAACCTTGAAATGTAGTCACATAAGAGGAGCTGCAGCTGCTGTTAACTAGTACTTCTGAGAGGTCAGCCAGGAGTTGGCTTGAAGCTTGGTGCTTGCTGAAATATCAGCCCTTTTAATTCAAGACAAGACAGGACCCTGTGCCAAGGCACCAAGACTGTAGGCCAGACTTTTTTCCCTCCAGAGCTTCCTCTTCCAAAACCAAATCTGAATGGCCTGCAAAGATGAGCTCTGTGTGATGCAGAGTTAATACAATTACTGAACACGCTTGAGTTAGGAGAAAGGGTGCTACTACCTCTGTGTTTTGCCATAGCAACAGTCAGAATAAACACTAAAACCAGTTCAAAACTCAGGAAAAGCAAATCTTCAGAAGAGCACTTGAAGCACCCAGGCTAGTGCATCTGAGACACAAAAAAGGTTGAGCAGAAGGGGAGTTTTTTCACTCTTGCAGGAAGGATTTGGAGCTGAAATCACAGCAGCTTTATCAGAAAACTGTATCCCACTGTTGCCAAAGAGGGAACTTCCCATGAGTTTAACACAGCAGGAAACATGAGCAGTATATTAGCATCTTGCAGACACCCTTTTTACTCCTTTTAATGGAGCTTGAGTGATTTAATGTCAGATAAAAATATAGTTCAATTCTCTCAAGGCTTTTCAAATGACTAGGCCTCACTGGCAGGATTTGCCAATGAACATGTAACACCAATAAGAGGTGTTGGTGGCTTTGTTGTGTGAGTCCTAAAGCAGGAGTTCATAACTCATCTCTCCCAAAAGAACAGAAGTGTTTGAGCTGTGCTGGAATCCTTTGGGCTAAATGCACATTTCGTGCCGTGTGCTCTGGGGGAAAACACCTTCCATCCTGTGCAGAGGAAGTGCTGCACTTTGCAAGAGCCCCATGTCTTGACTGACCCTGTGGACATCCTCGTAGCATGAATTTTGTGTGGTCTTTTATGCAAACTGTAGCCCAGAATGCTGAGTATGTTTTAATGAGTGCAGTTAATTTCTCCTTCCAGAATGGAGACACAAAGAAAGAAGTGTTTTCTGGTGCCATTTGAAAAGAGATGGAGTCGGCGATGCAGAGATGCAGGAGGGTTGTTCCAGGAGGCAGGATGTACAGAGGGAAGGGGCTGCTGCAGCAGCCAGGGGGGTGGGACCCTGCCAAGGCACAGGGAGAGATGAGGTCAGCTGGAGAACCTCCATCAGGAGTGAAAGCAGTTTTGTCTGGTGCTGGAAATGCATGGGAAGAGCCATGGCTGGTAAAAGAGGGACTCCTGCTTGGGATGGGGAGAAAGCAAGAGCGTGAGGGAGGACAGAGAGATGGCTTGTGTTCAGAGAAACATGGAATGGTTTGGATTGGAAGGGATCTTGAAAATCACCCAGTCCCACCCCTGCATGGGCAGGGACACCTCCCACCAGCCCAGGCTGCTCCAAGCCCCATCCAACCTGCCCTTCAACACTGCCAGGGATGGGGCAGCCACAGCTTCCCTGGGCAACCCGGGCCAGGGTCTCACCACCCTCACAGCACAGAATTTCCTCCTCATGTCTAATCTAAATGTTCCCTCTGACAGTTTAAACCATTAAATGATACAGCTTCACTTTTTCAGTTATCAAATGTCAGGCATTTTCTCAACTAAACAGGAGCCACAGGCTGTGTGGTGCTTGATGTATTATTTGATGTTTGTGTCTGTACAAGACCACCTCTCTGTCTTTCAGACCAGAAACAGACCAAAGTCTTGGACTGTCATTATTTTCCCAGCAGCTTTAGCATTCTGCAGGTTGTTCAACATCACGTGCTATTAACACAGCCAAAAGTGTTCCAGCTTTTGCCTCCCCACTCACATGAGCAGCAATAACATCTCTTTAGAAATGGAATTACATATTAGTCCTCTTGTCTTTATACCAAACTGAGTCTGTTTTGTCCATACAGATTTCCCAGTTAGAGTTGTGGTCTCAAGGAATGATTTAGGTTGGTTTGACAGGGCCTTTTTTGAAGTGTTTGATATTAATTATAGATCTATCCTTTAGGCCTTATTAAATTACCCAAATGTGTTTGATCTCATTAGCTGGTATCTTATCTCTGGTGTTTAATTGAATGCTTTTAGCAATGTCTGGATGGAATGATCCAGGCTAACTTGGCCTGTAGCTATCTGCCTCTGTTGCTTGCTCTTTCCCATACTGCCATTCCATAAAATACCCTGCCAGCTACTTGGATTTATCTAAAAACCTAAACACTGTTAGTGGAAATTAAATACTAGAAGATGGAGGTTTTCATAATTTCTATCTTAGAATTTTTTTCCATTTGGTGTTTGTTCCCAGTGTTGCCTTCCTTGGGCTGTTGAAACGAGGCAGGTTTCAGCCCAAGTTGTCCATCACTGAGAGAAAGAAACCCTAGAATTTAATTATCTTCAAAATAAGGTTCTGCCTAGATTTTTCAGCCTGTGATTTTTTCCTTGATCAACTTCGTGTTTGGTTTTATTCTGCTTTGAGAACTCCAGTTCCTGCCTCAGCCTGTGCTCTGTGTGCAGTGTAATCAGGTCATGATCATTGGGCTTTGCCCCGCGGGAGGTTCAGTTTAGTGATCGATGGTTGGTTTTATACAATTGTAACAGGGACCAAAATATGTGCAAGAACTGCTGTGCCAGACAACTGGCATTGGTTAGAACTGATCCAGCAATAATACCAAGGTTATAGATGGACAAATGTGGGTTTGCTTTTGCTATTTAGTAAATAAAAGAGCTGGGTTTTTGTTTTGGGGGCTTTTGTTTGTTTGTTTGTTTTGAAGAAATTAAATCGGGAGGGGATTAAAATAATGTTAGTAAGTGGTGTCATCTTTATTCAGTGAAGTAGGTTGTCTGTCCTGTGAGTGTTAGTACATTGTTTCTGTTGCCAGAAGAAAACTGATGCTGTGACTAATGTAACTGCATTTGGTGGTGAAACACAGAAGCTACAGGCTTGAAGACAGTAGGTAAATAAAAAACACAACAAAAAACCAAGCCCCAAACCTTACTGCATGTGTTGCAGCATTGAATGCTGATCCCTTTGGTGAGTTGATCCTTTTGCTGGAAAATGTGAGGCTGTTTTGCTGTGGGGCTCAGGCAGGTGTCCAGACGGAGCAGTTAGTTCTGGAGATGTTTCATTTCCAGCAGCACGTTAGAAATTGGGACTGTGGGTAAGGAGGCGCACGGGTGTGTGAGGAGCTGCAGAGAGCTCCTGAGGCTCCAGGGGAAGCTGTGCTGGGACTCCAGCCTTCTCACCTGTGCCAACTGGCTCCCCCTCAGCAGCACTAACTGCTCTGCTCTCCTGGGCAGCTATCAAGACCGACGCGAAGCCTGCGGATGCCAAGAAGACCTCAGCAAAGTCACCATCAGGTAACTTTGTTCCTCTTCCATCTACATCAAATCCTCCTTGTCCTGGGGCTGTGTTTATTAAGCAGATCCCACTCTATGTCTTTAGGAGACTGAGGACGTTGGTGTAAATGGCCTCTGACCCATCTTTTTTCCCCCTCTTCCCTTATCACTGTGATCACTGTAGCAGAGCTGAGCCGCCCCAAGAGCGCTGCTGGAAATGCAGTCAAAAGTAGCACGACCACAACTTCCACCACCACCTCCAGCTCTCCTGCTTTACCTGCAGCAGCCAAAAGTCTTCCCAAACCCAAGCCTGCTGCGACCAAACCCACCACGACCTCAACCACCACAACGGATGCTAAAAAAACCACCACTAAGGCTCCCAGCAAGGCCAGCGCAGCTCCCAAGCCGCTCCGCCCCACCAGCAGCGTTTCTGCTCCGGATCTGAAAAATGTACGTTCCAAAATCGGATCAACAGACAATATTAAACACCAGCCTGGTGGAGGAAAGGTAAGTTTCTTCAGACTTGGTCACAACGTGCACTTTGGTACAGTAGCTCTAAAGCCTCAGGGGTGCTCTTGGCTAATTTTGGTGCTATACCCTCACTGCTCCTCGTGCGCGCGCTGCCGAGCTGCTCCTTGGGTTCCTGGTTTGTGCACAAGGCATTAACAAGGCAGTGCTCGTGGTATACAGAAGGAATCCACCTGAAGAGCCTTCCTGGTGTTTGCTGGCCTGTGTGCAGGAATTCAGAACTCTTGGTTCTGTTTTTCTGTTGTACATCCTGCCATAGAAACTAGTTGGTACTGAAACCACAAAAGCTGGTCTGTGTTCCAAAGTTTTGCCTTGGAACAGAGGAATTGAGTTTGCTGAATGGAACAGGAGGTGGAACAATGCACTGTGATGCAGGAAATCTGGATTCAGGAGCACATTCTGCAGCACCTTTCCCAGATCTAGGAACAGGGACCCTGTTCAACTCCTCAGGCTAAAGCTGAAATTAAGTGGATCTACTTACACTGCTCTTTGGATAATCTGAGGTGGCCTCAAGGAAAGAACAGGGTAGAGCTAAAGGAGCTGTAGAGAAAGTGTGTCCTTAGAGCTTGAGGCTCTCCATCAGGGCTTAAATTACAGTTTCACTGTGAATGTAAATGATAAAGGTTTAGGGGTGCACCTGTAGCCCTCTTCTGAGGGCTTCAGTGGGGTTGTGGCTGTGCATAATGATGCCAAGTGTGCTGGAGCTGGTGTGTGTGGCAGGTGCAGGCAGGTGGCTGAGCAGCCTGCCTGCCAGCACAGCCCTTTAATTGCCACAAAGTGGAACAAATCTGCCCACTTTGCTGCAGGTCTGCAGCAGTGGGGAGCTCCACAGATCCCTTGATTCTGATGCCAACAGAGCACATTTCATGCTGGGAGCCTTCACTTCCTCTCAGGAAGATGAAAAGCAAGGACACTCCTGGGCTGTGGTGCTGTGTGTCAGTCAGCAGCCACACGCCAGGGGTCTGCTTCAGAGCTAAGAGTGTCCCAGCTGTGCAGGGTCACAGTGCAGAGAGAGCTTCAAGGTCTAGGGGACAGAAGCTTCCACTCCCCAAAACAAGAGTTTCTGGAAATGAACAAACCAAGTCAGCTGAAAAATTCTTGAGGCAAGCAGGAGGGTGATCCTTCCATCTACTGTGTGTTGTAGCTTGACACCAAAGAGCAGCTCAGAAAGCTTCTGCCCTTTGGTCAGAAAGGGCACAGAGATTGTTCTGGTATTTTAAATCTGCACTGGGGTTCTGAGGATTGCAGAACTTTTCAGCTTGCAGGGTTAATGTGTCAGTTTAAGTGAAATTATGTTTATATTTAATTGTACTGTCCTTTATTTTCCAAATATTTTCATAGAGTTAGAATCACAGAATCATAGAATGCCAGGTTGGGAGGGACCTCAAGGATCATCTGGTCCAACCTTGTTAAGTTGCTAAGTCCTAACAATTGTACTTTTAAGAAAATAGTCCTTGTGGCCTGATTTATGATGAGATGTTTTTAGAATCAGAAAATGCTGCAGCAGTGCTGGGTTTCTTTGTTTACTGTTCTGTTGCTGGTAGGTTAGTGAAATACAGGATTTAGTCTGACCTCCAAAAAAATTCAAGTTCTGCTGCCCTTGCCTGGATCTAGATTAGATGGATATTCTCAGGTAGTTGCTTATTTATTTTTTTTCTAAAACCCTGTACATTTGCATTTGGTTTTCTGCTTATCTGGATTAACCAGGTCCTAACCAGGTCCACCAGCATTTGATGAGTTAAAAACTAAGTCAGTGGTTGATCTCAAAGTCTGAGTCAGATCAGTGTGTGGGTGTGAAAGCAGAAATGGCAGCAGAGCTCAAGGACCAAAACCCATCAGCCAGTGGGTGTGTTTGCTTCTGTGTGATGTCCTCCCTGGGAAGGAGGTGATCTGAAGGGTTTCTGAAAGAGATGGGGTTTATTTTTTTGGCAGAGTTATAATGTACTGAGGTCACCTGGAGACCTGCCATCGTGACCATTGGGGAAACAGTGAGGTACCAGTGAAGGGCACCTGTGAACTTCTTGAGAAATGGAGAACTTAATTATTGCTTTATGACCCCAGGGTGCCTGTTCCAGCCCGTGTCCCAGTGATGTTGCTTCTCCTCCACCCCCTTAGTTCTGTCATTCCTGGGCTTGAGACTTTGCCTGAGGATCACAGCACATCAGGAGTTCTCCTGGGTCATCTGTGCCACCAGGTTTCTCTGGGTAGCTGGTGTTCCCTTAATCTCCTGCCCACACTTTTGCTGTTGCTGGTTGAAATCATCCATTTGTCTCCATCTAGGGGAAAATAGAGAAAAAGCCAGAGTCAGCTGCTGCTGCCCGAAAGCCTGAACCCAGTGCAGTCTCTAAAATGGCTACTGCTAAAACAACTGTATCAAAAGAGAGTGCCCCAAAACAACCCAATGGGAAAGTGAGTTCATTTCAGACTTTTCTCTGTGGGAGATGAAGGAAAACATTTCTATTTGGAGTCACTTTCCCTTCTCTTCAGCTCTTCTGCTTTCTCCTGTCAGTGTCACTGTTCCTTGCACAGACACTTTTCCAGTTCTTTTGTGTAAACCCTGAGATACTCTCAGTTCCACACACTCAGCCATCACTGCTGTAGGTGCCTTTTCCATGTCTGCTGTCACTGTAGATGTTTCCCTTTTCACTTCTGGGTAGATGGGCCTGACATTGGGTCAGAGGTTTCCCTTCCAGCCAGTTCTTCATACACGGCGCTGCTTTGGAACTGGGAAGAGACAGCTTTAGTGGATATTCACAGAATATTAAGGGCTTTGTGTTTTTCCTGCAGTTCTTCCCCCCCAGCTGTAGCCACCTAACTGTGCACGAGGTGCTCCCCGTGCAGGGGGTCCCTCCAAAGCTGTTGTGACACGGGATCGCAGCACGCGGGGACGGGCAGTGAGGCAGGAGTGCTGCAGGTCTGGCTTAATTCCCATTTTACCCTTCATTGCTCATGAATGGACAGAGTCTCTGTGCCTCTTGAGAAGTCAGTAAACCACCATAAACCATTGCAGTACATTTTCAGAGCTGCTGTTGCACTGAATCCGGTCTTTCTGAACTGGCCAAGGAGCTTTTGGAAACCGGCTCAAGTGAGAATGTTCTGGTGATTCCTTTTGTGCTTCAAATTCATCACCCCTTTCTAGAAGGTTCCTTAGTTACAGCTTCTGCCACGTTTTGTGCTCTGTTGAATTAACTCCCAGACTAAACACGTGTTGTAACTAACCTCTGTGAACACGGGCCTGTCACTAATGCCCTTGCTGCCCTGGTGAGTAAAAGCTCACTCCTTAGCATCTCCTTCTGCAGCTTGAAAAAGCCCAAGTCATTTTAGCTTAAAGGAGGAACAGTCTCACTGCCATAACTCATCTGATGAAATCCAACTGCAGGTTTGACAGCCTTCACCAGCAGAATTGTTGCTCAGACCAGGCTTTACTGCCCAGAGGTTCTGAAGAGCATTACCCAGGACAGAGGGACACCGAGCACAGACCCAGAGCTGGTGACAGCCTTGTTGGGAGTGTTGGCCCCATGGCTTTGGCCTGTGGTTCTCCCTGCTCTGGGGCAGCTCTCACCAGAGAGCTCCTGGGAAGCTCCACAGGGGCCAGGGAGGAGCCCAGCCCTTGGCTGATGCCAACCCAGGAGGGCCTGGAGGAGCCATCTCCCCGCAGTGCCTGCGCCCGCACTAACTCTGTCTCTGCAGCTTCTTGTTCCCCTCACTTTTTTTTCCTCACTCTCCTCCTCAGTTGCTTTCACACCTAATATGGGTTGAGTTTAACACAGCTCCTTGTACCCCACCCCGTGTTCGAGCATCCATTCCAGCCTGCTGTATGACAACTCTAACCAGTCCTCTTCCCTTGTGTTGTTTTCCATTCTGTAACGTTCCAGGTCCAGATAGTCTCCAAAAAAGCGAACTACAGCCATGTTCAGTCCAAGTGTGGTTCCAAGGACAATATTAAGCATGTCCCTGGAGGTGGGAATGTAAGTATGGGCTGTGGGCAAGCTGCCTTTCTACTAACTCCTTCTCTTGTGCCATGGATTTACTTGTCAGTCGTACAAATGCTGTGTTTCAGGCAGAAAGGTGTGGCAGTTTCAGGGCTCCTGTAAACCAGGGGCTGCTGTGTGTGTTGTTTCACGGTGCTGCAGATACACCTGACCTGTTTCTCACATGGTTTCTGTGACACTGGTGACCAAATGTAGGATGTGCACACCACTGACCCCGGGAGACAGCTCACCATGGATTCTCTCTGCAGTCAGTGGAGGCACCTCATCAGTCCTCTGACCTGTTTTAGATGTCTGATCTTTTTCAGATGAAATGAAATGTGCCCTAGAAGCACCCGGTGCTCTCTGCTGGCTGACAGAGCAGGTCTGAGTCAGATCAATTTCACCTCTTGTTTCATGAGAAGGGAGACTTCTAACAAGGAGGAGGAGAAGACTCTGGGGCTTAATCTTTGAGCTGCAATTCATTTCTACACTTAAAGGCTACTGGGTTCTCTGGCAGCAGAGTTGAGCTTATTAAACTAGAAGGTTAATCCTGTAACGTCTGTGTGCTTGGTTTGGAGAACTGGATCCTGAAAGTGTCTGACAAAAAACCCCAAGTGACTATTTAGATACTAAAGCTTTTGAACATACAACCACAGTTTGGCAGGCTTGTTTCCTGGGGGTAAAGCTGCACTTCCTGAGAAAACCCACTCTAGGCTGGTTGTGCTAGGGATGTGTTGCAGAAATAGAAAGACTGGATGGTTTCAAAAAGACACTGGAGTCCCTAAGCCCAAGGGAGTGTCTTCCATTGATATTTGACCACACCAGGTTCCTGAGGAGCCACATCCAGTGACCACATCTTGGGATGCCTCCTCTGTTCCTAGTGCCTGAGAGCCAGCAGCACAGAAGCTCCCTGTGTCCTTGCTTTGGGTAGGGGTCATGGGCCAAATACTCTGTGTTTTGGGACAAATAGTCAAAAATTCTGGGGCCAGAGTTAGTGTTGCTGTATGGTCAGTGTGTTCTGTTTGAGTTCTGGCTCAGTGGATGCAAATGCTACGTAGGACCTGCCTGTGGGGCCAACTACCCTGGCCACTTTTCCTGGGAAATACTTTTGTATTTGGCTGAACCTCTACTCTCCATGACCAGTTCTTCCTTAAGTCTTTACAAGAGGAACCAGATTTGGCTTCTTAAACTTGCTCTCTGCAGCTTGCTTGCCAAGAAGGTACAAGTCAGATGTTGAAGCTTGACTCCCCCTTGGCAGTCTCTGCTGCTCTCCTTGCCTTTCAGTTTGTGGGTTCCCACCAGGGGTGGGACTTGCCTTTCCTGTTTGGTATTTCCATGACTTGTGGAGCTCATGCAGGAGGTTTCTCAGTGCCACAGAAAGAAAACCTAGTGGAAGGGGTCTCAAACACACTTCTCCTTCATTTGAGGCCAACAGCAACATGATTTAAATGCAGGGGATATTTTCCTTGCCTGATTAACTGCATTAGTGAACTGTTCTTTTTTCTAACCAATCATCCAAGCTGTCCTGTCCTGGGGACATTCCCAGCTGTAGGGGACAAGTGTGTGCCTGCTTTCTTTCTCTCTTCTTCCACACCCTGCTTTCCCCAGTGCACTTTTTCTCCTTGCCCAACTACTGAACCTCTTTGCTTTGAGGATAGAGAATGAAGTGCTGCTTATTTACAGGTTCCAGGTGCCCCCAAAGCAGGTCCAGGCAGTGGTTCCCAGCTCCCCAGTGCCCCCAGGCAGGGCCAGTGTGAGTGGACAGTCTGGTTTCCTAGAAAAGCATTTCCTGTTCTTCATATTTGTGTCTGATCACTCCCCCTGGGGCACTGGAAGATTAGTGTCCAGTTCCAAGATGTTTTCTTGTTCAAATAGTTAACTTGATAACTTCTGATAGAAGACCTCTGTACCTCACTGCTAGTAGGGTTGTCTGGAAAGTCCATTGTTTTAGTCTCTGGCTTCAGTCAAAGCCTTCAGGAATCCTGTGGACAAGAGCTGTGGTTAGTAGCAAATTACACTTCAGCTTAAGGTTTGCTCTGGTAGGAGTGATGGATGTTCTACCAAGTGAGGTGGTTCCTAGTTGGTGGTTCCTCTCTCTCTACACAGAGATACCATCTTCTCCCCTCCAAGAGACCCAAGAAGACATGTTCAAAAGCAGTAGATATTGTTCCTAGTTGCATTACATATGCCAAAAAGTATCTAGACATAAACATAGTTAGATCTCCTGGGTAAAAGCTTGTGTTGTGCTTTAGACTTTTCCCCCCTCTCATTTTAAAGAAAGCAGCAGTAAAGAGGAAGATGTTCCAAGGTGCAGGTAGTGAATGTGTTCCTGAAGGTTTAACAAGGTGATCTGGAATGTACTGGTGTTTCTCTGCCCTTTTTTCTTGACCTGCTTAGATGGATTGGGAAGTGGGGAGAGAAAGAAAATCCAAAGAGAGATGAGGATCCCATTTCTGTATCCAGCTTTCAGATCTGAAGGTTGTTTCTGGCACCAGACTCTGAGTATTTGGCTCTATAACTTCAAGCCCAGGCCTTTAAACGTGTCTCCCACTGCAGGCTCAACACAACAACTCAAATTAGCAGAAATAAATGCACTTCCATGTAGGTAGAAATGCCTGGATTTCCAGGTGAAACCATGAGGAGTCATAACTGGCTCTGTCTGTCCTGGCTGGTAACAGCCACTCTGGGCTTAGAGCACATCCTGTGACAAATGCAGCTTCGTCCCAGCTCCAGACCAGACTCAGCAGCCATGGTCTGACCTTCCAGAGTGCCTGGGCTCACTGAGGCAGGAACATGGAACAGGCTGCACCTGCTGCTCTGCCAGTCCTGAGCACACAGGACAGCAGGGCTTTGACTCATCCCTCCCCACACACTGGGTGGACTCGTGCTTCCTGTCTTGCAAATGATCGTGATCATTCCCTGGAAGCTTTTAGAGAAAGGGAATGAATTCTTGTCACATTCAAAGAGACAAATTTTCATTTTCTCTGGGAGAGGATCAGGAGCAGAACTCTGTGCATGCAGGTGCCAGCTGGTGGTTGCTGACCCAGCTGGGAGAGGTGATTCCCTCAAAGGTTAGTACCAAAACACCCCAGATTTTTTCCCATGGAAAGTTATAACTTGCTAGGGGGTTAGACCAGAAGTTCCTTCTGGTATAAATTATCCTGAGCTTCTATGAAATGGAATTTCATGGAATTTCTCCCAATAGTTAGACAAGAATTTCATTCTGGAAGAGAGGAAATTTTCATTCACCTGGAGCTGCAGGAGGAATTCTGGTGTCAGGAAGAGGCTCCATGCAGGGCACTCAGTCCAGGGGTCAAAGATAAAACCTATTTTTAGCAATTATTGTGACTCCACCTTTGTCCCACCCCAGAGGAGACACTTCTCCCCAAATTCAAACTGATGTCCACAAACACCATGCTGGAATATTTGGCTTGTTGACTTGGAAGAAGGTAATTTACTGAGTCATGAGTGTCTCATGGCTTCACGCTGCTCACTGAAGGTTTCTGTGCCAGTGCCAAGTCACTGGTAGAATGAGGTTAAAGGAGATAATACTGGGATGGAAATGGCTTCCCCAGTCCCAGGGTTTGTCTTTGAGAGGGTTAATGGGGCAAGGGAGGGGACTGTCCCCTCTGCTCTGGTGAGTCCCCCCTGCAGGGCTGGTCCTGCTCTGGGGTCCCCAACACAGGAAGGACATGGAGCTGTTGGAGAGAGGCCAGAGGAGGCCCTAGAGATGCTGGGAGGGCTGGAGCAGCTCTGGGACAGGCTGGGAGAGTTGGGGTGTTCAGCCTGGAGAAGAGAAGGCTCCAGGGAGACCTTAGAGCACCTTCCAGTGCCTGAAGGGGCTCCAGGAAAGCTGGGGAGGGACTTGGGACAAGGGCAGGGAGGGATGGGAGCAGGGGGAAGGGTTTCCAGCTGGCAGAGGGAGCTGGAGATGAGATGGGAGGGAGAAATTGTGTGCTGTGAGGGTGGTGAGAGCCTGGCCCAGGTTGCCCAGGGAAGCTGTGGCTGCCCCATCCCTGGCAGTGTTGAAGGGCAGGTTGGATGGGGCTTGGAGCAGCCTGGGCTGCTGGGAGGTGTCCCTGCCCATGGCAGGGGGTTGGGATCTAGGTGACCTGGAAAGGTCCCTTCCAGCCCAAACCATTCTGTGTTTCTATGGTAGCTTCTTTGAGCAGTTTGTTCCATCTGGGCATTCTGATCCTTCCTGGTGTCACATTCTCAGCAGGGAGTGCAGACCCCTGTGAGGAGCCTGGCTGTGAGACATGGGTCACTCTGCATGTTGGAGATGGTAGAGAGAAAATGAACTGGTGGCTTGTCTGGCCCTACAGCAGTAGAGTAGAAGGCTGAGTAGATCCCTGACACCAGTCCTGGGGACTGTCTGGAGGTGCCCAGGCAATGACCCATGTCATCAGAGGCAGAGCCACCCCTGGGCAGGAACAGTCTGAGGAACATGGCAATGGGATCAGCTTACTTTGGTCCCTCTCCCAAGTGCTTTTTTATTCCATGAATGCTCCAGGAACTCAAGGCTGCATTTCTGGTTGCTGCTCATCTGTTACTTGTTCTGGTCTCAGCTTCTCTCTGCTCACATTAACCCCTTCTGGCTGGTGCAGACTTTTAAATAGCCCTGAAACTGCCTCCAGAGTTGGGCAAACAGTGGCTGGGAAGTTGATAGGAGAAAATAATGTGGTGGAAAAGGGGTGCAGCTCCTGAAGTGTCACCTGGTGTTTGAGGTGGCCCATTGGCCTCCAGATTTCCAGGAAACGTTTCTTTATGTTGAGTTGTTTCTTTTTGCCTCTTCAGGTGCAGATCCAGAACAAGAAAGTGGACCTTTCCAAAGTGTCCTCAAAGTGTGGCTCCAAAGCAAACATCAAACACAAGCCAGGTAGGAATTTCACCATTCCCTCATGATGTGTCTGTAGATGCTGCAAGTGGTTTATAGATAGTCCTGAGTTGTCACTGGAACAGTTGCAAGGGTTTGTTGCTTTCAGGGAGTGTTCCTGGAAATGCTGCCCAGCTTCTTAGCAAGTCCTGGTGGTTTCATCAGGGGAGAAGGGGATTAGGAGATGTGGGATTTCATCTTGCCTCTGAAGATAACCATGTGCCTCAGCCCAGTTCTCTTTTTTCCTCCTCATTTGATTTAAAAAAAACCAAACAAACAAATGAATTGGATACTTCCCAGGAGGATTCCAGGAGTCTGGAAGCTTCATCCAGTTTGGAGCACTTTGGGGCTCTCAGCACACGAGTGTTGTGAAAGGATCAAGTCACTTCCCTCCAGTTCCTCAAAGCAGATAGAAGGGTCTCCTCATCCTGCAGTTCAGCAGCAGCTCCTGGCTGGGATAAAACACTCGTGGCTCTTCCAGGACATATCCTGGGAATGCAGGAATTATTTGCTCCCCACTGAGAACACAGCAATTCCTCTGCCTGAATTCCTGCAACTCCAGGGGTTCCTCACCCAGCAAGGACCAGCCCCTGGCTCAGCTGGAGCTTGGGCAAGTCTGGAGTTCAAGGTACCAGAGGAGGTTGAGCTGCACCTTCGTAGCCTCCTAAAACATGGTCAGTTCACTGAGTTGTGCTGGACAGAAGGACATTCATCTGCCCAGGAAAACTCCTGGCACCCCAGCGTCCCTGCACGAGGGACAAAGTGCACTGACCCAAGCTGAAAAAAACAAAAACTACTCCAAGCCTGTCTTTGTCTGCTCCTGGGAGTTCCCTGCACCCTTCCTGCTAGCCTGGTAGGTTGAGAGCAGTGGAACCTTCCCAGCCAGCACCGGGCTCTGACGGCTCCTGTTGGGAGCAAAGTGCCACAGCCACGGCCTCTGCTGGGGCTCTGCAGGAACACGCTGTGCATGACAAGCACTGCCCTTCTCCAGGGCTGGGGAAAGCAGAAGACTCCATCCAAAATTATCTCTTGGCAGATGTTTTAGCTGATTTTTGTTAGACCCAACCAGCTGTTCCCATGGCTGGCTGTGCAAGAGCTTCCAGAAGTGCTGGGAACTGTTTGATGGTGGCACCAGGAGGCAAAGTTGTGCTGAGCTGTGCTCAGATGGGGTGGGGGTTTTGAAAAACTTCCTGGAACATGGACTGCATGTGCAGTCTGATACATTCATGGGAACTGCAGTAAGGAAACCTTGCTAGAAATCTGCAGTTGTTTTTCTGACCTGCATGTTCTCCAAGCACCTGAAGTGTCCATCCAGTTCCCACACTTGACTTCTCCTGCCCGCGCGGGTCAGGCTGGGGCACAGGGGCTGGGGCAGGGAGGAGTGTCAGGGATGCAGGAGGAGTGGGAAGGGAGACGAGCAAAGGAAGTTGATGAAAAGGAGCAGAACATGTCCCAGCACCAAGGATTGCACAGATGGGCTGAGCTGGCAGAGACCTTGGCAAGGGACAGGAGTGGGCAGCTGGCATCAGCCATCAGGAACACTCCAGTGAGGGCTTGGGTGGGACTGGCATTTCACACCTCCACTGGGGGATGCAGATACACCAGCAGGTCCAGGGAGGCTGCTGGCAGGAGGATCTCCTCCAGCCTGTCTGCCCACCTGAGGGCATCTCCAGGGCTTTGCCATGCAGCTCTGCTTGCTTGCAGCATTGTTTGGCCTGCCCAACTGGAGATCACCCTTGATCCTACCTTTTTTTAAACTGAACCTTAACAGCAGGTGGGCTGAGGCACTAAAGGTACCACTTGGGTCATGTCCCTCCAAAGTTCACAGAGTCCTCAGTGGGGCTGGGAAGGGGACAGACCTCAGGTGGGACCATTCTGGAGGCACTAATAAACTCACCCCTGCACAATCTTGTTCTAGGGGGAGGAGATGTTAAAATTGAGAACCAGAAGCTGAACTTCAAGGAGAAGGCCCAAGCCAAAGTGGGTTCTCTGGACAACGTGGGACACTTGCCAGCAGGAGGAACCGTGAAGGTGGGTGCAGCAAGCTCTGGCACATCAGGGGAGGGTTTAAGTTTGCTTCTTCTCCCTGTCCTGCTGTGGATGTAGTGCAGTTTCTCCCCCCCCAGCTTTTTGTAGCCATCTGCTTGTTTCTTGGACGTCTGTTGTGAACCCCAGGAGCAGGAGCTGAAAAGGAGAGAGCTGTGAACCAGCTCCATGGCGTGGGCTCCCTGCCAGGTGTTACTCAGGGGGCTTTTCTGCCCATATGCACCCATCTTCTGAGGATCTGAGAGCAGAGACCACTCCCTAAATCATAAACCCATCAGAGAAGCTCTCTGTGGCCCTTTCCCTCATTTCTTAACCCCAGTAAAGCAGGTGAGATGGCAAGAAGGCACCTTGCAGCTCTGAGGAGCAGTTTTCAGCCCGTGACTTGAACTTCTGGGCTTGACCTGTGGTGCCAGGGAATGGTGGGGATGATGTTTAGATGGTCACTAATGCTGGGACTTTTATGTGAAACGTCACTTGCTTCTTAACTGGCTGGAAGAGGAGAAAACAATCCTGTGGTCCAGCAGAACTGTTAAAATGTGACTTAGTCCTTTGCAGCAGGACAGGGAGGAGAAGAAACCCCTCCTAAACACCAGCTCTCTGAGTTGTCTCAGCATTGTTTTGTGGGAGAACTCTTGTCTGGTGGAAGGGCTTGGAGTCCAGCTGGGTTGAGCCCTTGTGGGAACTGGAAAGGAATAATCCCTGTCCAGAATAATCCCTGCAGCAGAGTCCACAAGTATGTTCAGAACATGCTCCATCACCCCCTGCAGACCAGGTCTGAGGTGACTGCAGAGAAGGTGCTGGGGACACATCAGGCCTCTCCTGTTTCCATCCCTTCATGTGAACTTCTCATGGGGCTCAGGGAAAAGCTGAAAGGAAGCAGAGAAGCTGCTGCTGTCCTGGTAGGGACCTTTCTGCCACAGGGCCTGGCTGTTCAGTTCACTGCAGTGTCTGGGCCATCTCTTGCTGCTGTTTGCTGGTAACTGGGGTTTCTACTGAAGTTCTACCATCTTGCCTGGTCAGGCTTAGTCTGGTTTTGTAATACTTTTCCCCCATCTCCAGGGTGGCTGGAGTCTCTGTCCACAACACCTTCACCCAGTACTTTTTGAGGCTCTAACATTTACCCTGGCAAAACAGAGACCAAATCTTTTCCCTGCTGCATCCCACGGGTCTCAGGCAGTGCTGTCATCGGGGCAGGTGGCACTTAGGGACTGTCACACCTGCCCAGGAGGGCTGGTTGTTCTGGCTCAGCCACCCTCTGTGGCTGTCAGGGAGGTGTGAGGACCATCCAGGTCCCTGTAGTTCCTGTGGAAGAATCTGGGTACTGGTGTTGCTGTCAGCTCAGGGGTGGGAACTTGGACCGCAGAAGAAGGCCAGTGGTTTTCCTGCTTGTGGAAAGAGGGGCTGTTCCTGGGGAGCAGAGGGGCTGTTCCCAGGGGCTGTTCCTGGGGAGCAGAGGGGCTGTTCCCAGGGGCTGTTCCTGGGGAGCAGAGGGGCTGTTCCCAGGGGCTGTTCCTGGGGAGCAGAGGGGCTGTTCCCAGGGGCTGTTCCTGGGGAGCAGAGGGGCTGTTCCCAGGGGCTGTTCCTGGGGAGCAGAGGGGCTGTTCCCAGGGGCTGTTCCTGGGGAGCAGAGGGGCTGTTCCCAGGGGCTGTTCCTGGGGAGCAGAGGGGCTGTTCCCAGGGGCTGTTCCTGGGGAGCAGAGGGGCTGTTCCCAGGGGCTGTTCCTGGGGAGCAGAGGGGCTGTTCCCAGGGGCTGTTCCTGGGGAGCAGAGGGGCTGTTCCCAGGGGCTGTTCCTGGGGAGCAGAGGGGCTGTTCCCAGGGGCTGTTCCTGGGGAGCAGAGGGGCTGTTCCCAGGGGCTGTTCCTGGGGAGCAGAGGGGCTGTTCCCAGGGGCTGTTCCTGGGGAGCAGAGGGGCTGTTCCCAGGGGCTGTTCCTGGGGAGCAGAGGGGCTGTTCCCAGGGGCTGTTCCCAGGAATCAGAGGGGCTGTTCCCAGGGGC